TTAACCAGTTTTTTTTTCACTCAAGGTGTGTATTTTTTCCAAACTTGATTTTTATTTTTTATTTTTTTTAGCTTAGAATGCCACCTACTTGATAAAGGGGACAGGGGGAAGAGATTTCTTTAACTTTGGGGGAGGGGTTGCAAAATAATAAACCTTCAAGCTTGAGTGGGGTTGGTCCATGCACGGGGATTCCAGCAAGAGTTTCTTTTTTGTCTGTAGACATTGTCGGAGGAGAGCTGTGTTAGTCCAAGGCAGGGTTTTTCAACCTTGGCAACTCTAAAAGGTGTGGACTTCAACTCCCAGAATTCCCCAGCCAGCAGTAAACACTGGTCTAATGGTTGCAAAAAATCAGGAGTGCCCTCACACCTTTCCCAACAAAATTAACAGAAGGCAACCCATGGCTAGCCAGGCTGATGACCCACGGCAACTTTGGTTCTTGGAGGAAGATTTGATTTTTTCCATCTGCAGAGAAGAAGTGGGAATTGGAAGCCCTCTTAAACTCTTTCCACAAACAATCCTGGTGATTTCCAGGACGTGTCTTGGTAACATACGGTAAACGTGATTTGTTATTGCCTTGTTCCAGAATGTATATTTGTTTTTTGATTGGGATTTTCTGAAGGTCTTGCTTAGCTCCCGATCTTACAGTTAGGAGTTAGCCAAGTCCGGCTGAGACAGAAGCCCCTTTAGGGTTGGCTTAGAGGTGAAGGCTAGAAGTGCCTCCTCAGAAGTAAGCCCCACAGCCTTACAGCCACGCACATCCCGACAGAGAAGGCCAGCCCCAGTAGTAATTTCCATGCTAGCTTTCCATAGCGTCTTGCATCACCAGCCATCCTCTGCTGGAGCCATCTAAAACCTATCTTCATTACTGATATAGCGGCCAGCTGTGGTTAGATGACCTGAAAATCTGCTATATTTGTGTGGAAAGACTCAAGGACTGAAGAAGGCTTCCTTGGAGGCTGCAGATGTCAAAGCCTAACAGGTAGGATTTTACCCACCGTGAGATGCTCTTGGACGGCGTGGGAATACAAGGGGAAAGACTACTTTAGCACCAGTAAAGGTAAGGATGGCTTGAGCTTGTCCCACTCTTGCCTCTGGGGGAGAGATAAAAGGCCACACTGGGAAGCAAAGGGGAAAATCAGCACTGCCAGGGGATGGAAGGTGCAAGTCGAAACGGAGACCCGTCTTGCTTGCCTCACACCAGCAATGGGTTTTACAAAAGCATGCATTTTGGATCGAACATGGAATACTTGATGTGAATGGTTTGGTGCACCACCACCAAGTCTTGGAGAAGCAGAAGAAGAGAAGGTGAAGCCCAGTGTTTTGCTCGTCCTCAGAATTTAACCTGGACTGGGCTCTTGTGGGCGTATGCATGCAGGCTACAAAGATGCTGCCAACTTTGAGATACAGTCTCAGTAATAAAGCTTTAATTACTTAATTGATTAATTGCCCCAGCAATGGTTGGATGGCATCATGAATCTTTTGGTCTGGAAATAGGTCTGGATTCATTTGGGAGGTAGTTCTCACACGGTCTGTCTTTCACACCTGGCAAGCATGGGTCACAAGGGGCAGGCCACTCATGAAGACTAAGCCACCATTGGTTCCAATGTGCCCCACCTCATCAAGACGGCCTTGCACGTGTGAACGCAACGTATACCCAGATATGGAGCAAAGCCGCGTCTCACCTCACAGCCCTCCGGACAGGAACCTTCATGCATTCACATATCAAAGCTGGCTAACCCAGCCACAAATTAACTGAGTGAGTCAATAACTACCCAACTGAAAGAAAGAAAGGGGTGTCCATTTTTTTATTTGGTATTTCTAATAGACAGTAGTGTATAAATCCTACTGTGTTGGATTTGCTCTATGGGAGCAATTTTGTTTTATTTATTGGTTAGATTTATATCTGGTATACTTTTTCCTCCTGTATTTCCCACAGCAGCACCCTGTATAAGGGTCTCATATTTGGGGGGGGGGAGGTAAAAAAAAGTCAAGATGATGGCTGTGAGTCTGTGCGATCAACCCCCCTTTTTATGAGGTGCACATAGAAAGGGAGTGGGCTACAACTGTATAGTCACGGCCACCATCTGGAGTTTTTGGATCCCCCTGAGGATGCCCCATTGAAAGGGGTCACTGCCTGAAATAATTGCCAGCTCTACAACTTCTAGCAGATCTCCGGAAATCTTCAGGTACTGTTGATATGGATAAATTCATATATAAGATCCCAAAAATATGCACAGACAAATAGGCCCCCTTTAAACGGACAAATGTTATATGTATCCAAATGCTTCATTGGTTGTTTTTTTTCAGAAACATGTTCACAGACTCATAGTCGCCTGCTGCAGCTCCTGGGCTGCTGAAAACTTCTTTGCTACTGCTTTCCTCCCCCTGTTACCATTCTGCTGTTTATTTTATTTTGAATCTTTAAAATATTATTTAAAGTGCACTTTTATCAATGGTCTTAGCTGATACTCAGTTTGAATTTTACTCGAAACCAATCTGAGAGCTTTCTTTAAAGAAGAAACAAAATACAGACATTGCAAATGAATTAATAAACCATCTTATTTGATGGATACAGTCGAGGATACTTCACAGCGTGCTCTGCAGTTAGAATCTGCTGGGCTCCTACTGGTCCCTGTAGGCCACTGTGGGCATTATTTCTCTGGTCATTGGCTACTTTGGCTTCAGTAGCAGGACAGGCTGGACACCTGCCTTTCACAGATGAATTTGCCCACATAATGCCTTACAGGATTAAACACGGGTTTAGTGCTCTTTTAAAAGAGCCCTGGACCTGTCTTTTAAACATGCGTTTTGCATTCTTTTGAGAGCACCGGAGGGCAGCTGAGAAGAGTGTCAGTTGTCCCTACAGGGTTTACAGGTTTTCTGCTGCTTCTGCTAACATGGTGTTTTACAGGTTTTTTACTGTTTTTATTTTGCCAATGCTATTCTGGCTCCTGGGGCTGCCAGCCACGAGGAGAGCATTGGCCTCCCTGCCAGCCCTGCCATTCTACTGCAGGTGTAGCTCACTCCGTTTTGAATCTCCACCCTTTCTCTGCACCTATAAGCTGTTGGTCAAGCTACTCTGTACAAAACCCGGGTTGAGGAGCAGCTTGGGGGAAGAGGCAAAGGTGCAGAGCCTCTCCACGTGCAAGGCCGTGTAAGCTGGGCAGCTTGAGGGGTAGTTAAGCACAGTGGTCCAAGCACTGCCCATCTTCACCCAACCTTGACCCATCCTATGTGAGGGAGAGGGACTGGTGATTGTTTTGCCCTGGTGGTGTCCAGAGGGCTGAGAGTGACAAAAGTAGAACCGTGATGTTGCAACAGAAGCAGAATCAGGGGCATCACCGTGTCACCCGCCCACTCAAAGAGGTTGAGCTGGCAGGGCAATGCTGCCCTGCTGCTTTTTCATTCTGACAAATGCCACATGATCTTGCAGATCCCTCCGCAGATGACGCCTGGGGGGAGAAGGGGGAGAAGAGACAAAGCCAGGGGGATCCACCTATCACTTCCCTTAACTTGTCTCACATTCAAACAGTAAAGACAGGATTTGCGACGATGGGGGGGCAGAGCGTGGCAGTCAGGGCCACAATCCTCTTTTGCTAGCTGAAGGACTGTTGCACACCTGCTGATCACAGGCAAAGTTAGGTGGAGACAGCAGAAAACAGAGACCCCCAGGACATAGTTGGGTCCTGTTTGGGGAAGAAGACAGGCTCAGCCCGGGACAAATAGAGCCGGATTGAGCTTCTCCACCTCCCACAGAGCCAGCTCCTTCATTCCCAGCCAGCCTCTGGGACAAACGCTGTGAAGGAAGCACGGGATATCTGGCAATCTGAAAGTTCTAGACGGGCATTTTTAGGAATGGGGGTGCTCCTGGCCCGGCAGGGGCATCCACAGGGTGTGCTAAAAAAAGTCAAGATGTTGGCCATATAACATGACCCAAGCGTCCCCCACCCTTGAAATGCAAAAACAGGTGGAGCCTTAGTTGCACCGCCATGTCCACCATCCTGACTTCTTTGACCATATTCTGCAGACCCCCTTGCAACTGGGGTTGGAACAAGGCAGGAAAGACCACTTTAACAGCAGTTCTCAGGTGGGCGTGGGGGGGGCAGTTGTCAAACAACCCTTGCAGCCCCCTGGTCCCTGGATGCCGCGAGGAGTGGGG